ATAATTCCAGTTGGGAAACTGACTATCCTAGACCAAGGGTAGGCAACCTTGGCTCTTTTGGGACTCGTGGACTTCAACTCCCATGCTGGCTCAGGAATTCTGGGAGTTGAAGTCCACGAGTCCTAAAAGAGCCAAGGTTGCCTACCCCTGTCCTAGACCAAGCAATGTCCAAAAACACTAATAAATTTCTAGGAGCCTGTCACTCTGACAAATTAGCCATCAACAGACAGAAACAATATGTACCCACTTTGCAAAAAAGACAACACCTCCTCACTAGCAATCCACACTGAGATATGCATAGATTAACACTATAATTAACATCAGACCAACAATCAAGAAGTAAACAATGTCCTAATCAAGGAACTGCCAAAGAAGCTAACAACAAATAGCGCAACAAAGAACCTCCAGACCATTTTTTTAAAACTGCTAAAACAAGCCTTAGGGCAGTGATGGCGAACCTTTTAGATCTTTTAGAGTGTCCAAAAACTGCCCTGCCCCCACTCCCACCTGCCCACCTCCCCGTCCCGCTCTGCCATCCCGCAGGGCCACCTACCGCCTCCATGGCCCGTCGCAGATCACCCAGGCGGCTCTACAGTGCCATGGCAGCCACGCCTTCTGCCTGCACCCCACAATATCATCTGCATGCGACAGGGTGCAAGGGCGGAGTCTTGTCCCCACTGCCCAGCTGTCATGTCCTTGGCTGGGCTGCTGCGTGCGGGCCATGCCCAGGGGTGATTCTCCTCCGGGGGTCTGCTGGTGAGGAGGAGGCCGCGGGGGGAGGTGGGGCTGGGGCAATGGCGCACGTGCCCATACAGAGGGCTCAGAGTGCCACCTCTGGCACACGTGCCATGGGTTTGCCACCACTGCCATAGGGTAAACTTCAGCAAGGCCCAAAGATTTTTGCAGTACTTTGCAAACAGTACCTGCCAGGCTTCCTCACTTTCATGATATACCAAAGAGTGAATTAAACCATCTGTCTTACTGTTGATGTCTTCTTCTTCGTCTACAGGTCATTTTGGATTCTTGCCTTTGAATTGGGGTTTTATTCCTAAGAATGCAAAATACACACAGTGGTTACTATTACCCCAGACACAGGTGTTACCTGTGAAAGACCACCCACCTCCCTCCACTGCCTAAAGCAGGGGTCTCCAAACGTGGCCCTTTTATGACTTTTGGACTTCAACTCCCAGAATTCCTCAGCCAGTTTGAAGACCCCTGTCCTAAAGCTGCGAAGAATACAAGACTCAACTAAACATACCTGTCAGCGTAGAGGGCGCCATCACAGCCGAAGACTAAGAGGGCTTGATCTGGAGACATTTTCTTGCTCTCTTTTTCTTCTTTTTTCTTCTTTCGCTCTTCTTTCTTCCTCAGTCATGCCCAGCAACGTTGTCTCTTTTGAAGAATATTCGGCAGAAGAATGCACTTCGTCTGCTCGGTCTGCAAAGCTAGAAAACTAGAACACCTTTTACAGATCAATGGCCGCACCTAACATTAAAAAAGGCCATTGATGTTTTCTTTTTGGTTCTATGAACCATTGCCAGGGCTAAATCTCCAGACCAACAATCAAGAAGTAAACAATACCCTAATCAAGGAGCTGCCAAAGAAGCCAACAACACATAGCGCAACAAAGAACCTCCAAGACCATTTTCACCAACACTGAAAGGAGCCACTAGAACATAAACTGGGAGCAAACTGCACTCCCTTCAAGCACTGATGATGTTCCCTAGTTTGGTAAAGAAACGTCTACAACAGGGGTGTCAAACTGCCAGCCCATGGGCCAGATGTGTCACGTGAAAGCCACGCCCACCCCATTGCCGGCAAGGGCAAAACTGGCCCGATACGTTGCACGACGTCATGTGACGTCACGAGTTTGGACATGCCTGGTCTACAAGAAAAGCGCCAAGCTCAGAGAGCAGCAAGGACGCCACATTTCAACCATTAACCACAAATATTCTCCTTTATTGGTATTCCTTGTATTAAATTGCATCATCAGGTTTACTTTTGCTTCTAAGAAGTCTGGCTTGTACTGGCATTATTTCCAAGGGTGTGAAGGTGGGAGGGAGGCGATCCCAAAGGATTCCCTTCCGGCTTGAGTCTCACTGAGGGAGTCCTCAGGTACTGGAGGAGGCTGGTATCTGTCTGATTAATAGATCCACAGCCAATAGCTAAAATTGTCTTGGGTGAGAAATTTTTTTGCTACTTTTTAGGCACGTTTGTCACACTTATGACTGCTCTTTTTACCCCTGATACTTTGTAATATTTTAAAAAAAAACTTTGCTAAAGCAAGCCTTAAGATAAACTTTAGCAAGACCCAAAGAGTTTTGCAGTAGTTAACATGTTGCAAACAGTACCTGCCAGGCTTCCTCACTTTCATGATATACCAAAGAGTGAATTAAACCATCTGTCTTACTGTTGATGTCTTCTTCTTCGTCTACATGGATTCATGCCTTTGAAATAAAACAAAAATCAACATCACCAAATGACCAATGGATGTTCAGAGGTTAGAAAAACAATCAGGGTTTTATGTGTTTTATCCTACTTGTGAAAGAAGGCAAGATACAATAACTTGTAACATTGTTCCCTTAAGCCACTAGCCTGTTTTCTACATGTTTTGCTTCTTTTAAGGCAGAGGTCTTCAAACTTGGCCCTTTTATGACTTGTGGATTGGCACGCTGGCTGAGGAATTCTGGGAGTTGAAGTCCACGTCCAAAAAGGGCCACGTTTGAAGATGCCTGGACTTCAACTCCCAGAATTCCTCAGCTAGCATGAGGAATTCTGGGAGTTGAAGTCCACAAGTCCTAAAAAGACCACGTTTGAAGACGCCTGGACTTCAACTCCCAGAATTCCTTAGCCAGGCACGCTGGCTGAGGAATTCTGGAAGTCCACAAGTCATAAAAGGGCCACGTTTGAAGACCCCTAGACCAACTCCCAGAATTCCTCAGCCAAGCACGCTGGCTGAGGAATTCTGGGAGTTGGAGTCCACAACTCATAAAAGGGCCAAGTTTGAAGACCCCTATTTTAAGGACTTGAGCCTTGACTAAAATTTCCTCAGGTCCCAAGAATTGGCTTGGAAGAAAGTAAAGGCAACTCCAGGTACTGAAGCAATTTTGCCTTTAAGCTAATTTTAATGCTTGTTCACCTATGATAGTTTAGCTCTCTTTAACTGCACCTGGCTAAAATTGCCTCAACTTTATTCCTGAGAGTCAAATAAACTCCTGGGCTTCAAGTAATTTTAGTTAACTTTCACCTTTACTTACTTGCAGTACTTTTAGCCTGCAAGGACATGGCTAAGATTACCTTAGATTTTACCCAAATTTTAACTCCTATTTACCTGTGGTGGTTTGGTCCTTTTAAAAGGACATGGCTGAGATTAACTCAGGTTCCACCAATATTTTACTCTAAGAACTTGAGCCTTGGCTAACGTTACCTCAGGCCTCAAGAATTGACTTTATTTCAAGAAAATAAGTCCAATTCCTGGACCTGAAGTAATTTGAACTTTTTCTTTTAGTTACTTGAAATAGAACCACCTGCCTCCAGAAGTGGTGAATGCTCCAACACTGGAAGTTTTTAAGAAGTGACTGGACAGCCATTTGTCTGAAAAGCTATAGGATTTCGTGTCTGAGCAGGGGGTTGGACTAGATGACCTCCAAGGTCCCTTCCAACTTTATTATTATTATTACATATTTTGCTTCTTTTAGGAACTTGAGCCTTGACTAAAATTACCTCTGGTTCCAAAAAAAAAAAAATCACTTTATTCCTGAGAGTAAAGTCAGTTCCTGAGATAATTTTACCTCTAAAGCTAATTTTAACTCCTATTCACCTGTGATGGTTTGGTCCCTTTAAAAAGGACATGGCTGAGATTACCTCAGGTTCCACCAAAATTTTATTCTAAGAACTTGAATTCTTGGCTAAAATTATCCCAAGAACTCACTTTATTCCTAAGAGGAAAGTCAGTTCCTGAGATAGTAATAGTAATAGTAGTAAAGTTGGAAGGGACCTTGGAGGTCATCTAGTCCAACCCCCTGCTCAGGCAGGAAACCCTACACCATTTCAGACAAATGGCTATCCAGTCTCTTCTTAAATACTTCCAGTGTTGGAGCATTCACTGCTTCTGGAGAAGATAATTTTACCTTTAAAGCTAATTTTAACTCCTAGTCACCTTTGCTGGTTTGGTCCCTTTAAAAAGGGCATGGCTGAGATTATCAAGTTCCACCAAAATTTTATTCTAAGAACTTGAATTCTTGGCTAAAATTACCCCAAGAATTCACTTTATTCCTAAGAGGAAAGTCAGTTCCTGAGATAATTTTACCTCTAAAGCTAATTTTAACTCCTATTCACCTGTGGTGGTTTGGTCCCTTTAAAAAGGACATGGCTGAGATTATCTCAGGTTCCACCAAAATTTTAAGAACTCCACTAGAATTACTTCAAGACACAGCGGTTTGCGTTATTCCCCGAGCGACAGACTGAGATAAGTATCTGACCTGTGGTATTGGAGTCCTTTGAATAAAACACCGTTGAGCTATTACCTCAGCTACCACTGGCGTTTTACTCGAAAGAATACATGCCGGGCTTAAAATTACCACAGGTGCTATCCTGACTCCCCGAGAATTAATTAGCTAAAGAACTCACGCCCCCCCCCCCTCCGCATCTCTAAAAGGTAAAAAAAAGTCTTAGGTACAATTACCTCAAAAGCTCAAAAGGCCCTGCCCGGCCTCGAGCTCGAGGACTTGGGCCGCGGGAGTGCCGGAGAGAGACATTTTTGCCCTCCGGCGCCCCGCAGCATCGTCTCTTTTGAGGAAAAAGAGACGCGGTAGCGGCGTCGGCTGCCCGTGCAGCGCGCTCGCTTTTCTTTTTGCACGCAGCCTGAGGAGCCCGCCGACTTTTTAAATGCCCCCGCCTTTCGGAGAGGAGAGAGGACGCTCAGCCAATCCGAGGGAAGCGTTTTCGGAGCAGCCAATCACGAGCGAGATGGGCGTGCAGACAGGAGCCCGCGAGGCAGTCCGAGGGCGCTGGGCGGGGAAGGCGCGTGCTCTTTCGCGGGCAAACACAGGTGCGAGCGCTCGGCTGGTTTCCCAGCTCGCGCAGCGGTTGCCATGGAGACGGCCGCGGCGCGGGAAACGGCTCATCAGGGCCAGGTGGGCCTCGGCCGCACAGGTGAGGGCGATTAGACTGCGTAATGCCTCCTCCTCGAGCCTTCGCCCCGCCCGGGGACCCTTTGGACTACAAACCCCATCCGTCAGGCAGCCAGCGGATCTCCCCTTGTGCCTGAGAGGCTGCCTCCCACTACCCCTTCCTCTCCCGTTGCAAAGGCCCAGTTTTTAAAATATCCCCATCATTTTTGCAGCTGTGCTTTTTAGGATTGAGAGATCAGAGGGTGACTTGGGCTTCCACTGGATTACAAGTCCCATCAGCCCCCTCTGGGATGGTGATGGGGATCGTCCCTTCTTCCAACAGAGAACTTTTTCTTGTTGAGCAGGAAAATGCTTAAAATGCTGTTTAAAAAAAATCTGAAAATTTAATAAATGCAAAATAAAATAAAGATTATATGCAGAATTTAGGAGATGCTTTGGACTACAGGTCCCATTAGCCAGCCTTCGGGGGGGGGGGGAGGGTACTGATGGGGATTGCCTCTCTTGCAATAAGATTGCCCTTCTGCTTGGTGGGTCCTTCTCCCACCCCTCAAATTCAAACCCTTTTTTGTGTTTCTTTTGTTTGCATCTTCTCTACCATGTTACAATCTTGCCAGGCAACCCTTGGTTTTATTTGTTATTTTTTTCCAATCTTTTTTTCTTTAGGAAAAAAAATCCAGGACTGGTTTGTTTTGCTTTGCTTTGCTTTCTAGGGATTCTGCTAAAGTGTATAATAGAGTTTCTGATACATGGTGTCTTGCCCAGTGAAAAAATTGACTTAAATTCAAAACTATTTCTTCCTTTTTCTATTATTATTTCCTCCCCCTACCCTCAGTTAAATGCTTTCAAAAGAGATCTGATACATTTCTATCAACATTATAAGTATCTTAATAACTTTTAATGAGACCCCTCTCAACATTTTCCACCATGTTACGCCCTCCAGACAGGGTAGGACAATGATCTGCAGAATTAATCAACCAGCTTTGTTTTCCTTTATTCAGAAAAATATTCCAGCACTGTTCAACAAACCACTGTAAGAGACAAATACCTTCTTGTTAAGCCATTTTATTTGGATGGGTAGAAGAAAAGAACATTTTGCTAGCGATTGCAGAGACCACAACATCAAAATATTCTCACAAATTCTGGGTCTTGGCATGAAGGCAACGCTTTCTGAATTGGTTCTGATAAGTTCTTGCTTCAAGGAATTGCAGATGATTGGGTGGGAGTGGCTGTGGTGGTAACGGCAGACTGAGTGGGACTAAAAAGTTCAATCAATTCCAACTTTGCGAGATCTTTTTTTTTCCTGTGAGAAGTTGAAATTGATTGATTGAACCTTTTTTTTTTTTTTGCACACGATGGCGGAGGCCTAAAGTGAAAAGGTTTTATAAAACCCGGCTGAAGGCCCAGGACTGGGGCGATGGCATGCGTGCCCACAGAGAGGGCTCTGTGTGCCACCTGTGGCACGCTTGTCATAAGTTCGTCACCACAGCCCTATGGGATTTCCTCATGTATTTTACCAGGAAACATAAATAGGGCAGGCTCCAAAATTCAACACCTTCCTAAGCATACCGATGTGTTATGAATCCATTGGCGATGTCCATTTTGCTCTCCAAGTTCATGGGGACCTAACCCTAACCCTAAGTGGGTTTTTCCCCTATGTATATATGGGATAAAAAAAGGAGTAAAATAATTTTAATCATGAAGTGGAGTCATACAATGCCTAGGGATTTATATTGAAATGACAATAAATCATATTTGCAACTATCTGGCTCCATCCTGTGGCGAGACTGGGTAACTGCAGCAAAGAAAACACATTTGAGTTAGGTGCTTTGGAACGTCTCAAAATCAGGGTAATGACATATATTGTTATATCAGTATATATATGTCACCAACTTTTGTTTTTCCTCCTTGCTGCCCTATCAGGAATTTGGCTAGGTGGATGAGGGAAAGCGGATTGCAAGGTGAGGGAAATCAGTTTGTGTGTGCTTTGTGTATATGTGTGTGTGTATGTATATTCATATATATGAAGCAAGATTACCTCTTTGTGGTTTAACAATAGGAAAACAATCCTTAGTAAATGGAAAAGTGCTATACTTCCAGAATTACATAAAACATGGCATTTCAGAGATGTATACCAATTTTTGAAAAAAAAACCATGTGTTTACTTAATCAGAAAATGTCATTTTATTTTTTCCTTTGGAAAAAGTTTTTGAATGGGTTTGGTTAAAAAGCCAATTTAACCAAAAAGCTTGGTTAAAAAGCTTAATTTTTCCTTTTCCTACACGATCAGGTGAACTTTCTACTTATAGTTAGATTTGTATGTGTGTGTTCTTTTGATGTATATTCTTGTTGCACATTGTAAAGCCCTTTTGTTTTTGTGGTAGATTGTTTTACATTTGTTGATTTATGTTGTTTTAGGTGTAAGTGGAAGGATAAAACAATATGGCTTTTGAAGCACGAAAAGGTTTAGTTTCTCTGGGACAAAAGGCCAAAGTCACAGGAACCAATTTGGCTCCCTGTTTTTTTTCATTTTATATTTTACTGTATTATATTATATTATATGTTATATTTTATTTTATCATTTTATATTATAAATATTATATTGTAATTTATTTACATGTTTAAATTGTATTATTCTATTCTATTTTATTTTATTTTTTAAATTTATTTGCCACCTACCTTGTTTCAAAATATTGCTACTTTTTTTCTTCTTTCTTTCTTTCTTTCTTTCTTTCTTTCTTTCTTTCTCTTTCTTTCTTTCTTTCTTTCTTTCTTTCTTTCTTTCTTTCTTTCTTTCTTTCTTTCTTTCTCAGCAGTGGAGCTGTGGGACTTACGACTGGTCAATTAACAAGTGTTTGAAGTTACATTGGAGCCCAAAAAATGGACTGATGGCCTGGATTTGAAGTCCGGATGACTGCCCCTCCCCCCACAGTCACATGACCATGTTCTGGACACTCAGCAATTGACAGTTTGCAGTGTCCTGTGGTCACGTGACTGCAGTTTGCCCCATCATTGCCCGAAGCCAGCATTTACTTCAGGTTTCTGGCAACACTCGCCCCCCCAGCGAGCAGTGGGTCCACTGAACACGGTGGTGTTCCCTTTATACAGACCACTGCAAAAAAGGCCATCAAATCGGGCATGGTCACCTGGAGACCCGTTTTACGACTGTCATGACTTACAGCTGAAATTGTGGGTTTAGTTATGATTGTAAGTCAAGGTCTACCTAAAGTTGTGTCCTATCCTTTTTGTTCTCCTTGCTAGGAAAAATGCCTGCAGAGGGAAGTGAGGCGCACGTCTAGCCCAGCAAAGAGAAGGACTAGAGGGAATGTGATAGTAGTCTTCCAATATTTGAGGGGCTGCCACAAAAAAAGGGGGGTCAACCTATTTACCAAAGCAGGACAAGATGCAATGGATGGAAACTCATCAAGGAGAGAAGCCACCTGGAACTAAGGAGGAATTTCCTGACAGTGAGAACAATTAATCATTTGGAACAAAAGTGACTACAGAAGTTGTGGGTGCTCCATCATTGGAGGTTTTCAAAAATAAACTGGGCACCCATTTGGCTGGGATGATGCAAAGTCTCCTGCCTTGAGCAGAAGGTTGGACTAGAAGACCTCCAAGATCCCTTCCAGCCTAGGATTCTAGGTTCTAACCTTTATACATTTATAAAATCTTAACAATTTGTGTTGCAAAGGACAGAAGAATTTAGGAGAACCATTTTTTCCCACCTGGACTGTTTAAGTCCCCCAAACCTTTCTTTGGTTTTTTTCAAAAGACCCCAAAAAAAAAAAGAAAAGGAAAAAAATCATCTCCTTTCCTCACTTCCAGGAGGGGTTTGCCTTCAAAAGAATCCATAACTTGGATCACAAACTTCTTTTACAAATACCATTTTTCCTGGAAAGCTATATCTTACCGCAAGGGCCAAAGTTTTGTCATAGGCTAGATTAAGAAATCTGATGAAAATCAATAATGCTGAGGTTACAACACTGGTTTCTGTGAGGGTCTCCATTATTTTCTCCATTGTTTGTCAGGGAGAAAATATATGATGTGTTGTTTTCCCTGCGGGTTGACTGTTTGCTTTCAGTCAGCTCTGCATATGTTACCTTTACACGCCTAAGTGCATTACGGCTGTGCTTTTAGAATCACGAAACACAATCTTGTGGGTTTGTTTTCTGCAAAAGCCTTAATGAATTGATTGAGAAACATGCAGGAGAACATTCCTGGTCTTCATCAGCCTGTCTCCTTGCCAGGGGATCTGGTTTCCTTATCCAGATCCTCCCTGGATAGATCTAAAAAAATAAAAGCTCAGTCTCTTCCAACGTCGGTTATAAAGGTCATGTTGTTAAAAAGATGCAAATATGTTCTTGGACAGTAGATGAGAAAAATTTGGAATCCCAAAGGTGCTTTTTTCAGGAGGCAACTGGACTTTCTTGTTTTTCTTTGAAGATGTTTTGCTTCTCATCCAAGAAGCTTCTTCAGCTCTGACTGGAATGGAACTGCATTTACATGGAGGGAGGTGTGTAGTGGGGTGCCCTAGGCCCAGTGCTCTTCAACATTTTCATCAATGATTTAGATGAGGGGATAGATGGGGAACTTATCTAATTTGCAAATGACACCAAGCTGGTAGGAATAGTCAACACTCCAGAAGATGGGGTTAAGATACAGAAGAATCTCTATAGACTTGAATATTGGGCGCTATCTAACAAAATGAAATTCAGTGGTGAGAAAAGTAAGATTCTACATTTAGGCAAGAAAAACCAAATGCACGGGTATAGTATAGATGGTACCTTGCTCATTAGTAGTAGCTGTGAGAGGGATCTTGGAGTCTCCTAGTAAACAATCACTAGGATTGGTTTTTTCCCTTTGTGTAAAAACGGATGCAAAAAATGAGTTAAATAGTTCTGTTTTCTCCCTGTTGCTTGTCACCTTCTTACCATTTTCTCCCACTAATGGACCAATCATTTCCTTAACTTTTTTTCTTGTTTTTTACATGTTGAAAGAAGCTTTTTTGTTAGTTTTTATTTTTGTCACAAGCCTTAGTTCATTTTGAGCCTTAGCTTTCCTCACTTCATCTTTGCAGGCTCAGGCTATTTGCTGATATTCTGCCTTAGTTATGTGCCCCTCTTTCCACTTGTTATACTTGTCCCTTTTGTCTTTCAATTTATCAGAGAGTTCTTTATGCAGCCATGCTGGGTTTTTTTTGAGAGCTGTTGTTTTTCTTCTTCGTTGGTATTGTGCTAGACTGGGCTTTTATAATCTCATTTTTCAAAATTTCCCAAGCTTCTTGAGTTTTTTCCCCTTGAGGATTCTCATCCATGGAATCCTTTCCAAGCTCTTTCTAAGATCTTTTCTCCTCCATCTTTCTGCTTTCTATTTTCACTAACAGAGAACATATTTTTCTACTTTCTTCCCCCCCCCCCCACTTAGGATAGTTAGAATATTCAGCATTCATGTGTCAGTACATGTGCTGGAGTGTTAGCATGCTACCCAAATCTTTTTTATCTCCTTTAGAGTGCATAATTGCTTCCATATCCTTTTGTGTTTGTGTGGAGAAAGAAACTTGTTAATCTGAACTTTCATTCTTGTCACAATGAATAATGGGAAAGCTTCCTGAATGCCTTTTCCCCCCATTGTTTGTCTGTTTTCAGCATGAGCTTCAGCTGGTTTTATTTCTCTGCATTAATGAATCAGAAATGTTTGTTCCTGAACTTATTCTTTGGAATTTATTCCAAAACCAACTGTCCACAATTCCTACAGCAGTTTCATTATCTCTTTTTGACCAGGCCTGGAGGAATGGATGGATGGACAGACGGATGAATGGACGGACGGATGGACAGACAGACAGACAGACATGTGGAGGCTACCACAGTAAGGAAGAAATGTTACATTTACAGGCATGTGAATTGCTGAAAGTAGCAATAGCACTTGACCTCTTCTTATAGAAGAAACGGTTTTCAACTGTATTTTAAAGTAAATGTAGTGTGCTTAACCCATACTTTCTGGAAAGAAAAATGTAGCTATAGTGTTTGTAGATATTCCAGAAAAGTAAGTATGGAAAGGATACAAATTCCAGAAACCCGCCCCCCAGCTAAAATGGAAATAATGCTTTCATTAAAACAATACTCTGGATATGTTCCTTATTTCTCTTGAGGCTGGAATGTGTTTAAGCCTACAGAACAGCAATAAACCATGAAGCCATTTTGGTGCTTAGAGTAAGAAAAATAAAGGGTGTCCTTTCCACGGATAAGCCCAATTCACCAATCTGTTTTCTTCCAAAGGTCCCCATGAGATGAACAGGAGATCTTCAGGAATTGTTTCTGGGGTTCACATGGACACATTTGATACCCAACTAGGAACAAGCCAAGGTCAGGCCACCCCTTACTAGAAGTAGGTCCACTGGTAGCAGCTGGGCCTGGAATTTAGAAGGCCCCCAATCTTGAATCAGGAAGAAAGAACATTTTTCTGTGTTCCAGACAGAACATAGAAATGTAAGGCTGGAAGAACCTCAGAGGTCTTCTAGTCCAAACCACTACTCAAGACAGGACCATCCCAGTCAAATAGCTGTCCACCCCCTTCTTGAAAATCTCCAGCGATGGAGCACTCACAACTTCTGGAGATAAACCATTCCACTGATTAATTGTTCTCAGGAAATTTCTCCTTTGTTCTAGGCTGGATCTGTCTTTGACAAGCTTCCATCTGTTACTTTTTGCTTTGCCCTCAGGGGCTTTGGAGAATAAGTCAGTCCTCTGTGACGATGCCTCAAGTGCTGGAAGACAGTCACAGTAATGTCCCTCCTACTCCTTCTCTTCATTAGGCTAGACCTATTTGGTTTCCTCAGCCGTTTATCATACAATTTAGCCTCATGACCCTCTGTTGCTCTTCTCGGCATGCTTTCTGGGATTATGGTGACCAGAACACTCCCAAGTGTGGTCTCACCGGTGCGGTTAAGTGACCTTGTGCTCACTATGGTCAAGTGATTCAGCTGTTGTTGCAGTGAACTACAGTAGCTATCCAGTGGTGTGTGTGTGTGTGTGCGCACGCACGCGCGCACACACACACACACACACACACACAGAGTCCGACAACTGAGCCTGTGACTTCCCAAGGCGTATTCTTATAAGTAAGAATTTCATAGCTGAATCCTGGAAGTTCAAGAAATTTAAGGACCACAATGTCCTGCTTCTTTAGTGTATTTGTACGAAAGGAAGAGAATATGAGCAGTGAGGGGTCCTTGGTGCTCTCTGGAACTGACGCCGTTATCTAGTTTGGTAATGAAACATCTACAAGAAAACAACCAAATTCGGAGAGCGCCAAGGGCCCCTCATTGCAATCCTGAGCTACAAATATTCATCTTTACCAGAAAAATGAGCAATATAAAGTTGTTGTTTTTTTAAGTTGGACCGATATTGCAAGTTGGGGGATAATGCTATGAAAATATACCAAGCCAGGTATATTCTTTGAATATCCGGTGATTTGGGAACCTGTCCCTCAACCTGTTCTGCAAGATGTCTTCCTAAATGTGCATTGTGGATGGAAACAAATGCTACGGCTGCTTTTTGCCTCCCCCCCCCCACTTCCCAAGTGTGCATTTTTACAGGTTGACAAAGGAAGAGCAAGCAACAGAAAGCCTCCTGTTTCTCTCTCTTTCTCTCTCTCTTTTTTGAAATGTGGATTTCCAGCCAGTTGAAAGGAACAGACAGAACACCTGACACATCCCCAGGTTTCTAAAGCTCAGCCATTCTGGAAGGATAAGTGACAGCCCTTTCAAGGCAGAAGCTCCTGAGTACTTAATAATAGCGAATTAACAGCCTGACAATAGACAAGGCAGTTGCTCAGGCATTAGTAAGAAAACAGAGTGACATCTTCCCTGAAAAGCTACTTGAATGCCATTTAAACTTGTCACATTGCAGAAAATAGAGCTGCAAATTGTTAAAAAAAAAAATCAGGCTTGCTCATTATGCAAGCTAAATGTCTAATTTTCTTAAATTGCATCCATTTTCCACGTGTTAAAACAAGAGAGCTTCTTTGATAGAAGAAATAATGACAAAGAAGGATTCTGGGTGATCTTTGCCACATTAACCCTTTCAAGGATGTGAAGGGCTTCAAGAGTTCAGAGCAAAGTATTTACTCGGTGTGGATTACTGCACACACGTTAACAGCAACACACTGTTTTCCTTGGAGTATAATATGTTAGGGTTTTATACAAAGTGCTACTTTAATGCATCCTGAGACTGTGTCTGCGGGCTCCTCCGAGTTGATGGAATATACCTTGCAAGATAATCCTTCTTGGCCATCGATCACCATTAGATCCATCTGATTTAATTGATTTGTTTGGATTGGATTTACAAGGTAACCTCTGGATTCCAGATCCTAGTTTGCATAGAAGAGAGTGAGCCTACTTGGAGTTAAACTTGAACCCTTGCACTTCTAATGTAATAGCAATAGCACGTAGACTTATAGACCACTTCACAGTGCTTTCCAGCCCTCTCCAAGTGGTTTACAGAGTCGGCATCGTGCCTTCAACAATCTGGGTCCTCATTTTACTGACCTTGGAAGGATGGAAGGCTGATCCTGAGCCGGTTAGGATCGAACTGCTGGCAGTGGGCAGAATCAGCCTGCAATACTGCATTCTAACCACTGCGCCACCATGTGTCAGAAATGATTGGAACTGTCATTAGGCTTTGCTACCTGTGGTACCTCCTCAGTTAAGGTTGATCGCCCAGTTTATACCTCACTAGATCTTCTTAAAACAAAGTGCTTGGAATGCGTTGGCCAAAGCCATCAGGGGGAGCAGAAGAGTCGTTTTGTGTATTTCTGGTGTCCTGGTGGAGGCGTCAAGTTAGGACTCAGGAGTCTGGGAGTTCTAGTCCCACTTTTGACACAAAGCCAACTCTGTGGCCTTGGACCAGTCACTTTCTCTCGACCCTAAGAAGGAGGCAATGGAAAACCACCTTGGAAAACCACACACATACATACATATGCACACACACAAACAAACACACACATATATTCATACATACACACATACATATATATTTACACACAGACACATTCTGTATATGTGTGTGTGTATAATGTATTAATTGGAAACGTGAAAGAGGCCTTCATCCTGTACTGGATAGACAATGGCTAAAATGATGCGCTTTCTCTATCCGTGTGTGTGTGTGTCTATTGTATATATAAATATAAATGCAAATATAAATAAATATTTGGGAAAAATGAGGTGGTGGTGATGGAGAGGGAATGTAAATAACAACACGCCTCTAAAATTCAAAATAAATCCTGCAGAATCATTCTGTCTCCTTTCAAGGATCCTAAGGTACAAATGTAGACAAATAAATCCTAAAAATAATAGTTGCTTCTCTGTGTCACCTTAAATTTCAGTAATTTCAAGCAGAGCTAGGCACTAGATCTGAATGCTGGCCTCTGACAAAGGAAGAATGTGAATTTTACCCAGTAACCTTTCTGGTCTAAATTTGGAATTAACAGCTTTGACAGATTAGTGCTCTCACCGACAGGTGTAGAGAAGAAGGCAAGAGGTGATGCTTTTGAAACATTTTTAGTATTCTTCATTTCAGGGCAGACAAAAATGTTCTGTCGTGCTTGCCGAATGGGGGGCGAAAGGACTACAATGAGCACTCACAAAATATGGTGTTTTTAAGAGAATTCTACTGGTTTGGAGATGCCTACAAGAAATTAGGTTTGTTTTGACAGTGGGCCCCGAAGATTTAATTTATCAACATGATAGCTCAGTTGGCAGGTTTTCCAGGCAAGCTATTTGTTGTCATTGATGGATGTTACTGGTGTCCAGCCCATGCGTCTTTTTCTTTACTTCAGGCTGAGAGGATGGGCTGAGAGAGACAAAAAACTCGCAATGTGTCCTCGTAACTGTGTAGGGTTGAGTGCCTTGTCATTTCCCTAAGAATCTTTCAAAGGCAGTCTTGGCTGGGTTGAATATTTCCTGGAATCAAGCTCTTTCAGGAACATCAAGTCGCCTTTTGAGCAAACCTGGTTTATGACGTGGATCCAGCCAGGGACTGCTAAGGCTTTCCTTCTGTTTCCTTTGTGGGAATTTGTTGAAACAAGTTGCCCTTAAGCCCCAAAGCTCTCCTACTTTGGAATCAGAGCTGGAACCTTACTCCAGAGGTTAGTTTGGTAATGTTTTTCTATGGGTCCGGAAAGATTTTTCTTAATTTGCCAGCACATTGACATAGAAATTATATCAGGAGATTTTTTCCCACCCCACTTTCGTTAAACAAAGGATGAGCATTATAAAAATGTCTATTTTCCCCTTTTTTGCTCCTTTTTAATCTTGACTGGTAAAGCCATCTCCCTTTCTCTGATCCCAACACCATCTAAGCTTTCTCCTTCACTTCATTTTCTTTATCTCCTGATCGATCTCTTATCAGTTCAGGTCTGTTTTCTCAAGCCTCTCTTGCATCCCCCAGGCTCTAACACAGGGCTCTTCCAACTTGGCCCTTTGATGACTTGTGGACTTCAACTCCCAGAATTCCTCAGCCAGGCACATGTGCCTGGCTGAGGAATTCTGGGAGTTGAAGTCCACAAGTCATCAAAGGGCCAAGTTGGAAGAGCCCTGTTCTAACAGATGCAAGTTATGACAAAGGGGGAGAGAAATATTTCAGCTGGCAATGACCAGCGTGCTCGTAATAGTATCGGGTTATAACTAATGCCAAGAAAATCACCCACGGAAAGAAGTGGTGAATTTAATTGATTGCTTTGGGGATTGATCTGACACATGATTGAGGAGACTCTGATATAAATCACGGGAACCTGGTGAAAATCACTACAGCAGGTCCACCCATGTTTGAGTCATACTGTCTAAGCCTATCCCAGAAATGAGGGCTTGG